GCGCCACCCTCATTGACGAGGATTTGATTCTCCCCCCACCCTGCCTTTGGTATTTGAAGCACCAAAGGCTTCAAGCTTCAGACAGTTTTAAAGAGAAGTTTTTTAAAAAGTACTTTTGTTTCATACAGATGGAAATTGTATCCATATGGTGGACAGTGGAATTGTAGAAAAACTTATGGATCTCCTGGATAGACATGTGGAAGACGGGAATGTAACTGTCCAGCATGCAGCACTAAGTGCTCTCAGAAACCTGGCCATTCCAGGTAAGCCTGAAAGGACAAGGCAGCTGCGTTGTTTTAAGTAGCTTTCTTTTCTAGACTTGATCTCGAGATTGCATTCTAGGATCCATTGCAGTGGCCAGGCAGAACTCACAGACAAAATTTGTGATGAAAAGGTTTATTAAGGAAGTTAACAAGTTGTAATGCCAGTGAGAAATGTTCACAGTTGAATTGTTTATCAGGACATATTACAAAGTTCTTTCAGGTCTGCTAATAAATGCCCAAAGGGGCGTACTACTCTGCTGTAACCCTCAACCCGATGGCTACAAGCTCTGGGGGTTCGCAAACCCAGCTCTCTGAATTACAGACCCAGAGGCACCCCTCTTTAAGCCTCAGCCCAAAGGCTCTCGGCTGCACATCGGTGTGTCAGCAAGCCAGCCTTCTGCACAAAAGTGTTGAGCTTTACTTTGTCCCTGGGTTTGGAAGCCCACCGCTCTTCCCCATGCTCTGGTTTTACTGCTGCTCCGCTGATAGATAACTGCCTTCTGGATCCAGGAGGGTCCCTGCGCAGGACTCGATCCACTCCTGATTTATTGGAATTGAAATCCTTCCTCCTACTTCTCAAGGCTCCTTTTACAGCAGAATGGCATTCCCGGGAATTCTGGTCACAATTACCCACAAGTGAATCCTATGCATATCCTCCCACACCTTCTTACCAGACCCAAGTAGGTGCAGGTTGATTGGGAGGAGTTAGAGAAGGTGGCTGGAAGAGCCACATGAAATCGTTCACTGCCCCGGCAGCAGCTATGTAGAGAGTCAAATCACTGGGCAAGGTCTTTATGGTATGTCTTCAGGTGACCTACTGCAACCAAGAAAAAAGTCTGCAAATTATTCACGTGTTCTTTATGAATAATTGGAGATCATATATCAAATAAATTTTCTGAGACTGCTCAAGCATACCAATTATTCAAATATTCTATTTTATTACCTTTTATGAATTCAAGGATTTTCATCATTTTCAAATTCAACTTTTTTAAACATCTTCAGTTGAGGTAAGATAGCATCAATTAGCATTGTCCCTTAAAGAATTATTTTTTAAGCTTTTTTTCTACAAGGAGATATAGAACTTTTATAAATGGCTTTAATAATCTTTTTTGATTCAAGGCTGTTGAGCCATGCAATCACATTGTCATGGGAAAGAATACAGAAAGTAGTCAAAACTATTCCTTTACTATCCCTTCTAAATGTAGTTTTCTGATTATATAAGGAAGTACAGCTATATGTGTTGGGTTCCTAACCTCAAGGTCAGCAGTTCAAAATCACCAGCTGCTCAGTAAGAGAAAGATGAGCCTTTCTAGTCCCATCATGACTTACAGGGCATTTTTACCCTGTCCTAAAGGGTTGCTGTGATTCGGAATGGACTCAGTGGCACTGAGGGTTTTGAGTTGATGTTAGCATGCACTATATATGAATTTAGTCCACTTCATGAGTTATTATTGTTAGGCGTCAAGTTGATTCCAATTCAGAGTGGCCATATGTATAAAACACCGTCCAGACCTATGCCATCCTCACAATCATTGCTATGAAAGGATGTATTTTTGCAACCAATTTGCCAATCCATTTTCAGGTCTTCCTCTGTTTTACTGACTCTGCCTACCCAGTGTGATAATTTTCTTTGTTATCTAGTGCTGCTATAATAGATATATCACAAGTGGGTGGTTTTAACAATCATTAATTTATTCTCTCACAGTACTGTATACTAGGAGCCTAATTTTACAATATGTCTCTATAGGAAGGCTTTCTCTCTGTTGTTAGGTGCCATTGAATCGGTACTAACCCATAGTGCCCTTATGCACAACAGAATGAGACATTGCCCTGCCTTGCACCATCCTCACAATAGTGTTTAAGCTTGATACCATTGTTGCAACCAGTGTCAATCCATCTTACCAAGGGCCTGCCTTTTTTGTTCACTTTACCAAACCTGGTGTCCTTCTCCAGGGACTGGCCTCTCCTGACAATATATGCAAATTATATAAGATGAACTACTTTCTCCAAGACAAGTTGGTTTGTCCTTTTAGCCGTCCATGATACTTTTCAATATTCTACTCCAAGACCACAAATCTCTAGGCTCTGAGAAAGGTCCTTGTCTTCTTTCAGCATCCATACACCCAGCATTCCTTGGAGATCTCCAAGTGTCTTGGCACCAATCTTTCCCTGCACCAAAGAAATTTTGTTTTTATTAAATACTTTTAGTGGAGGCTCTTCCATCTCTTATCACTATACATACATTCATCCATTGTGTCAAGCACATTTGTACATATGCTGCCATCATCGTTTTCAAAGCATTTTCTTTCTACTTGAGTCCTTGATATCAGCTACTCATTCCCCCTCCCCTGCCCACCCTCCCTCATGAACCTTTGATAGATTATTATTTTCATGTCTTATATCATCCTCTGTCACCCTTCACCCATTTTTCTGTTGTTTGTCCCCCTGGGAGGGAGTTATATGTCGGTCCTGTGATTGATTATCCCTTTTTTCCCCCACCCTCCCCTAATCCTCCTGGTATCTCTACTTTCATTGTTGGCCCTGAGGGGTTTATCTATCCTGGATTCCCTGTGTTGCGGGCTGTTATCTGTAGCAGTGTGCATGTTCTGGTCTAATCCGATTTGTAAGGTAGAATTGAGGTCATGATAGTGGAGGGAAGGAAGCATGAAGGAACTACAGCAAAGTTGTAGTTGCACCCTACTGGCTCATCTCTTCCTTGTGACCCCTCTGTGAGGGGTTGTCCAGTTGTCTACAGATGGGCTTTGGGTCTCCACTCCACGACCCCCCCCTTCCCCATTCACATTGGTTATGATTTTGCTCTGGGTCTTAGGAGGCAAAGGGCATTTATAGAGGTCTAACTACAGGCATGTACATATGTAAATATATTTATCTATAACGAGAGGGGAATAGATCTATACTTATTTTACTTCTGGGGCTCTTCTTTCTTGGTGAGAATAGGTCCTTCTCTTTCCGCTCGCTTCCCTCTCCTTTTAGTGGTTTATCGATCACATCATGGGGGATCATCACAAACTGCCATTACATCATATAATTTTCAAACCACTAAGAATCATGGCTCAGTTGATGCTGGGGACACAATTTTGTGGGGACGCAATTCAGTCCATGAAAATATCCTTCTCTAGGGACTGGTCCATCCTGAAAATGTGCCCAAAGTGTGTGAGAAATAGTCTCGCCATACTTGGTTTGCAGAAATATTCTGGCTGTGTATCTTCCAACACTGATGTGTGTGTTCTTCTGTCAATTCAGACTATATTCTGTGTTCTTCACCGACACCGCAATTCTTCTTGAGTCTTCTTATTCATTGTCCAGTTATCCAGTGCATATGCAGTGATTAAAAATACCATGACTTGGCTCTGGTGCACCTTCATCTTCAAAGGGACACCGTAGTTTTTCCGCTTTCAACGACGTCTTTTGGAAAAGATTTGCTCAATGTAGTATGTTCTTTGATTTCTCTACTCTTGCTTCCACGGGTGCTGGCGGTGAATTTAAGTAAAATGAAACTCTTGACAACTGCAGTCTCTCCTCGGCTTGTTTTTTATATTGAGCTGTGGTCCATACTGCAGGCTTTATTCTCTGACCTTCATCAGCAAGTGATTAAAATTCTCTTCGATTTTAGCAAGCAAGATTATGTCACGTGCATATTGCAGCTTGAGTCTTCCTCCAGTCTTGATATCGTCATCATATGAGGGAGAATCCCATACCCCCAAAAAGCAAAACAAAACCAAAAAAAGCTCCGCTTGCCAGAGCTTTCGTAGTACGTATGCATTTTTCCCATTAGACAAGCATCCAGTTGTGCTGAGTTAGGGTACCCTGTGGGTCACCTGGAAAGGTTCTCTCTAGTCACAGTGAATTTTTCAGTAAAAGCAGTTTTACCTGAACCTTGTTTTTTTGATGGCCAGTTTAAAAGAACAGCATGCGGCCGTGAAATTTTGTTTCCTGCTCGGAAAAAATGCCTCATAAACTGTTGTGATGTTGAACACAGCTTACAAGGACAGTGCTGTGAGAAAAGCTCAAGTGTACACGTGGTTATTTTGTTAAAAAAATTAATTCATATCTTTGGGGGGGGGAATTCCGATTTTGTGGGAGATGTTCTCCCTCATATAAGATTCTCAGATGATTTTTTTCAGCACAGAGATTAAATAAGGATATTAAATGAAACAAACTTGACACACGCCTCTCCTGATTTTTAAACTATGCAGTGTCTTTTTGTTCTGTTTGAACGACTTCCTCTTGATCTATGTACAGGTTCCACAAGAGTGTAACTAGCTGTTCTGGAATGCTGATTCTTCAGTGTTACCCATGGTTTGTTATGATCCATGTATTTGATTGCCTTTGCATAGTCAATAGAACACAAGAAAAGATCTGCCTGGTATTCTCTACTTTAAGCCAAGAACCATATTGATGGCAGCAATGATATCCCTCATTCCACATCCTCTTCTGAGTCCAGCTGGACATTCTGGCAGCTCCTATAATGTACCGCTGCAGCCATCTTTCTGGCAGTCTCAGCCTTCAGCCAAAATGCTTCGGACTTTAACAGTAGTGATCCCTATTTGCATAGCAGATTGCTGTTGTTTATTAGTCTCTATAACATCTATATTAACACTGTTGGGTCATGAATAGAGAGATAAAGAGAAGAATTTATTAAAGCTGAATGATTGTGTTCTATTAATAGGAATGTTAACATTTTCAGATATCCTTTACAGATTATGTAAGTAAATGCCTGATGAATGCATTTGGAAGTCTAGTAAATATTAATGCATATGTTAATACCCCTATAAACACACAAGATACTACCCCAAAAAAATCATCGTCGTCACAGAAAAGCAAGACTACTTTCTATGTAGGAGAACGTAATATAGAGCCATAGAGATGATAGACATTCAATACTTGTGTTGAGGTTAATGTTTATAGTCAAGAATGATACCAATACTGTGTTTAACCATACTTTTCCTTTCCTTTGCTCTTCTTCTCTCTAGTTGTAAATAAAGCAAAGATGTTATCAGCTGGGGTCACAGAGGCAGTTTTGAAATTCCTTAAATCTGAAATGCCTCCAGTTCAGTTCAAACTTTTGGGAACGTTAAGGATGTTAATAGATGCACAAGGTAAAAGAAACTCTTTCCCAAATTTGCTTTCGGTAGCTTTAATGTGTTTCTACTTGAACAAGAACTCGATTTTAGCTTTCATAGGTATATAAGCCTAAAAGTAAATAGCAAAGAATAGGGACAAAGTTCCCGGGAGTGTTGTATTTGACTTGACAGGGAAATTGTACTGCACTTCAATCCTACCCTGTTTCCCCGAAAACAAGATAGTGTCATATTAATTTTTGCTCCCAAAGATGCGCTAGGTCTTATTTTCAGGGGATATCTTATTTTTCCATGAAGAAGAATATGGTACACATTTATTGTTGAACACCAAAAAAGGAAATGTATTACCTGTATATGGTACGGCAATAGTTGTCATCACAAACCAGCATAACCAGACAAACTGTGAATCCTACAGTATCAAGAATTTCTTGTTACTACCATTATTTCCATGTACAACAATCTATGGTACATTTACTCACACTTCCTGTCTGCTCTGGCTGCTCCCCGCAGCTACGGTCCAGAGTTACGGTAGCTTGGGGGAGGGGGGGGCCTTATTTTCGGGGGATGCCTTATATTTCGGCAAGAGGCAAAACTGTAAGTAGGTCTTATTTTGGGGGGATGTCTTACTTTTAGGGAAACACAGTATCTTTAGGTTGGTGTACAATTTGCTTGGGTGTTATAAATGGTTACACACTCTGCTGCTATCCACAAGGGTGATGGTACAACTCACTTGGCGGTGCTTAGGAAGAAAGGCCTGGGTGATGTACTTGGAAAGCCCTCTGGAGCACAGTATTCCCCGCAGCACATGAGCTTGACACCATTCAGAATTGAGTTGAAAGCAACTGGTTTGGTTTAGTCTTCTTATTAATCAGTTTATAAAGATCTTTTCATTTAGTTTTGATTTGATTTCAGACATTCCAGGTCCATTGTTACCATATCCGTAAATCACCATGTCTCAATATAACGACATTGAAACTTCAAAAAATGGATTTGCAAATTAGTAAAGCATTTCCATTTGCAGAGATAGTGAAAACCACCCCTAGAAATGGGTTATGCCTATTTATTTCTAAACTATAACTCCTCTTAAATTGATTGCTGACAGTCCTTCTAATAACTTTAGTTAGAGTCAGCCAACGTGCTAACGGAGTGTCTGGTTTAACCAAAAGAGTGTATAAAGTTATTTTTTTTTTTTAAGATTTTGATGAAAGTACATAGCATTCTAGAAAAGTCAAATCATCCACCAGATGTGGAGTATTTACTGTTCTTGCTGTAATGAAATTGTTTTGTTTTGAGGCATGTAATTTTCTTCCATGCTTTCAGCCTCTTTACCAATTATTTCAGTTGATTTCCTATCAGTGATTCATCCCCTTGTGCCTTGCCTTCTTTCCTATAGCAGAAGCTGCTGAACAACTGGGTAGGAATGTGAAATTAGTGGAGCGTTTAGTAGAATGGTGTGAAGCCAAAGACCATGCCGGTGTGATGGGGGAGTCAAACAGACTGCTCTCCGCTCTCATTCGGCACAGCAAATCAAAGGTAACGTCAGAGGAACCTAGTCACTATTATTCTTTAGTGATCTTTTTGGAAAACCCGGTTCCCCATATCCAGCATCATAAACTTGAATTTTTATGTCTCTATGTATATTTTTGAAGTGAATTCTGTGAAGGAAATAATAATTTCACTTGTTAAATGCCAACTGAAGTATCTTAGTGCACTCTGGATTTTAAAAAGAAAGAAAAATAATGAAGATAGAATTTTAAGATTTTTAGTTTTAGTCCATAACAGGGATTGACACAGTGACTGTAGCAATGAGCTCAAACACAGCAATAGTGGTGAACATGGTACAAGATAGGCTATTGTTTCCTTTGGTTTGTATATAAGATGTCTACAAGCCAGAGCTGACTGTTGCCGGCATCTAACACGAACCAGAAAATCCCATAATAATTAGAGTAAACCTCTGGAGTCAGTCACTGTATGTCCCGGTGCCCTAATTCTAAAGCAGGGATGATAAGACCTGCCTGAAAGAGTGTGGGTAGGATTCGTGTATACAGCATGCTCACTTGCTTCCTGGTACATAGTAGGCACTGTTTTCTGTATGAGCTCTAAATTGTTGCTGTTTGGTGTCATCGAATCAGTTCTCACTCTTAGTGACCCTATGTACAACAGAACAAAACTGCCTGGTCTTGCCCCATCCCCACAATTGTTCTTATGTCTGAGCCCATTGTTGTAGCCACTGTCCATCTGTCTCATTTAGGGCCTTTTCTTCACTTATTTTATCGATCGTGATCCCCTTTTCCAGGGATTGTTCTTTCCTGACAACTGTGTCCAAAATTCGTGAGACGAAGTCTTGCCATCCTTGCTTCAATTTGCCAATGCAATACATTGTTGAGCTCTAGATTAGAACTATTATTTTTCTCATCTTTTAAAGTTTTTTTAATCATTGTTAAATTTAACAAACATTGAAATAGAACTGAACAAGATTCTCAAAATATTGTCTGTCAAATAATAACCCCAATAAATTATCTACAAAGAAAAAAGGTAAGGATGAGGTAGGTGAATAGTGTATTCTCTCTCCTTCCCTATAGGATTCATAGTGCACGTTATTACTCCTACAAAGAAACTTCCCAGACCACGTAATCCCCTGACTCTCAGGCTATTTATCCAGCCTATCTACCTAACTTTTTTGCAAGTGACAACTATCTCACAGAATACAGTTTGGAAAATACCACTCTAGAATAAGCTATTGAAGCCATTAAACACTGGGTATAAATTTGCTACATTTTTATAACTCCTTAATGGGCTGTTGTGAATCACAGCTTTCTCCTTGTTGTATTACGCTTTGAAGTCCATAATCCTTTTCAAGTCACCCTGAATCCTGTCTTGAAGGATAGCTTTCCACAAGTTTGCATTGATTCACAAGGGTTTGTGCTGGCTTAGTTTGCTCAGCCACAAGCACTGTACTGCTGCTTGTATGCCTCCAGGGAAATTCACAGCTTCTCTTGAAAGAGTGCCTAAACGTAGGATTCCTGACCAGCTAGCTGGGCCTTCTGACTCCGGATACCTAAGAAACTGATGATTGTTGCCAACTTCTACAGTCTGAAAAACCTTTAAATGTGCATTCAAGGTACATGATATTACTGGTGATTAAAATGTGACTGTTGTATTGTAAACCAAAAAGAAAGACCGGTAGTTAGAAAATACAGCCTTGGTGATAAAAATAACACTGGAGATCACATGAGAGAATTTTGGAAGACCAGTGACCCATTTAGTGGCAATATGTTTTTTAACAACATTAATGATTTGACACAGGGGCCTCACTGGACGTAATACACGTTCCTCAAATGAACATCTATGGAAAGAGAAAATGGACAAGTCCAATATTATCAGTCAGAACAAGGCCATGGACATGAAACAGACCATCAATTGCTCATTTGCAAGTCTGCAAGTGGAAGCACATTAAAACAGCTCCAGGGGACCCACTGTAAGACCCTGAATGTATCTTCCCTGCACTTAGCAATCATCTCAAGAATGGATTTGATGGATTGAACACTGATGACGGAAGACAATGTGTGGGGTGCCGTCAAGGACATCTTTTTTGCCCCATGTCTTCTAATGACGTTCCATGAAGATAGTACAAAGCAAATGGGAAAAAGGGACGAAGGACAAGAGGTGAACAGAAGGTTTCAATGGTAGCTTGAGGAGGCATCCATTGTTAAGAAATGTGCAAGCAGTGGCAGCTTAGGAGGCCACACTCCTGGTCGTGGCCTTGACCCCAGGCCACAGCCTCTGGCTACTTCTTTAGAGTTAATTCACGTGCCAAGGAATGCTTTTTTGAGCGGGTCGCCTCGGGCACCAAGATAGAATTCACCTTTAAGGTGGCCAAGTGCAGCTGCCTGGACATCAACAGGGAGATCACAGAGCCTGATAATAACGCATCTCAAAGAAGACCAAGAGTCCAGTGGGAAAAATGCACCTGCTGCTCTGCTCACATGGATGGAACACACACGGTTTATTTTAGCAGTAGGATGTCCACCATGACTCCAAAGATAGTGGTGTTCGCCCTTGACATAGGGGAGGCCCCTAAAGCACAAGACGTGGAAACAGGAGCTCACCAGACAAGCTAGAAGAAATGATTCATAACCGCTGTGAAGCACGAGTTGGAGGGCCTGTTGGTTTGAGAGAGAATGCACAGAGCAGTCAGCAACCACATAGACAGCAGAGGATCCTGTGGCCCTTTGGCGCTCTCGCTCCAGATGCCAAGACATTGAGTTAGACCTAGTGCCTGAACAGGTTTTCTGAATTCTAGAGAGTTGTTTTCAAAGAGCCTTTTTTCTGACCCCACACTCACAAACTCCCTGTTGCCCAAACACCTTGGTCCCAATAATGTTATTAGTCTCTCTGTCTCCTTTTCAGCACTGTCCGTCTCACAGCTCATGTTTCTTCATTTACAGATACTAGGGTGGGGGGCCACACCTTTTTAGGGAAGTTGACATTTGATTGGCATGGTTTCTTTCTTTAATTCTTACCTCTGTTATCCCGGGCCTTCCAGAACTCAGGCACTAGAAGTGAAATGTAGGCGTAGCGTCCTTCAGATGTCTTCCTTTGTTTTCGGAATCACCAGCCGTTTGTGGAGGACATCCCCACAAAGCCGAGTACAATACAAAAATGACAGCACTCTGGACCCTTACCCTGCAGCTCAGGACAGCTGAGATGGCTGTTAGTGAGCACTTGAAGAAACAGCTGTCTGAACTCTTCACAGCTGCCTCCCCGACCAGTGGCCAAGCTTGCTGTCACCATGAGTGGGCGCTTTTAGAAATATTCTTTACCTTATTTTTGCTTTAATATACGACTTGCCCAAACACACATGTCCCTCACCCCCCCCAAGCCCAAATTTTTACCTTGAACCTTATGATTCATTCACGCCCACTGAAACTGATGGCAGAAGCAGCTAGTAACCACTTTGGGGGGCGGGGATTGCAGAACCTGGTAGAAAGTCTTTGTTCAAGCTGATAATGAGAGTTTGGGTGAAATGGCAGCTTTCTTCATTATTTTTCCTCTGCTGGCATGTCCACATTCTGCATTTTGGCACCTAGAAAGCATCGGCTCACATAATTGGAAAAAATGAATTTCTGATGCCAAAGGGTTAAAGCCTCTTGGATTTCATTACGATGTTAAATAGCCACTCCTATTTGGTCAGCAGCATTTCGGGCCACGGTTTAATTAGGTTACTGAACATTAGTGTCAGATCTGGGTTTTTTATTTTACTTCTCCAGGGTCTTTCATTTCGGCACATGTGAATTTTGTTTTGTATAAAATGAAATGCATTTCTCTTGGTCTCTGATGATGGGCTTAAAATGACCGGAGCATCTGGTGGTGGTGATCTAGGTGACCCGGCACATTAGTTACTTGTAAAACTTCTTTTTTTTTTTTTGCTTTGCCAAGGAAAACTACAAGTAATGAGTTTTTTATAATTAATTAAAATTTATTACAGGATTTCATAACAGTTTTTTCAACAGTTTTTCGAAAATTTCATAATTTTTTCAACCTTGAGGTAAATACTTGCAACAGTTTGTTGATAAAGTGACTGTGCTCCACCTTAACACAACTGTTGCCTGCTACATGTGTGTCTGTGTGAAAACACTTCAAATTTGAATTAACATAAGTAAATTTACAATGGTTGTATATCTAATATATCCCAGGTTCAGTAAATAAATGGTTACTTTAAAAAAAAAAGGAATGTGCAAAGACCTAGAATTAGAAAACCAAAAGGAAAGAACGTTTTCTGAATCTCTCAAACTGAAAGAACTGACGAAAACTTCAAGCCTCAAGTTCAGATATTGAAGGGTTCATGGGCAAACTACTGAATGACACAGGAAGCATCAAAAGATGGAAGACATGCGGTCATTGTTCCCAAAAAGAATTGATCGATATTCAACCATTTCTCAGGAGGTAGCATATAATCAACGAGTAATATTGAAGGAATTTGTCCAGGCTGCACTGAACGTATTGGTGAAAAGCAAAGCTCTAGGGATGGATGGAATATTATTAACAGAGATGTGTCCACAAACAGATGCAACTTGAGGTGCTTACTCATATATGCCATAAAGAGAGCTCTGTGCCAACCAGCCGGCAGGGTCCATGTGTGTGCCTCTTCCAACGGGGCTGCAGACGGTCTCTTACAATACCAGCAATCACACAGGCAAGCAAAGGTGTGTCGACGGCAGTTCAAAAGTGGTTACAGCAGTCCATCGGGGGAACTGCCGGAAAGTCAAGCCAGATTCAGAAGAGGTTGTGGAACAACCGATATCACTGCTGTTATTAGATGAATCTTAGCTGAAAGCTGAAAATATTAGAAAAAACATGTTTACCTGTGTTTTATTGATTAGGAAAAGAGTGAGTTTGAGGATCATAGCAAGTTGTGGATAACCTTACAGAGTGGGAGCTCTAGAATACTTGTGCTCAGGGTTTAGATTGTTCTTGTTGTTTATAAAGAAAATAAGCCTATACTTCCTTGTTTTACAAATAAAGCTGCCTGCTTTGGTTGCTTTTTAGTGACTAGCCAAAGAGACCAAATCTTCATCCAACTCCCCTGGGTCATCCAAAAGTTGGATTATCTGAAGGAAGTAGTTGGATCTCCAGGTCCCTCTGTCGTCCCTGAGCCCCACCGGAGCGTGTCAGGGTTTAGGGATGTCACTCACAAGGACACCTGACGAGCTGTGGTCGGGTTCTTGTACTCATGGGATCTGTTCATAGATCAAGAGTCAGTCTTTTGTAATAGAACAGGAAGATACTGCATGGTTTAAATCAGGAAAGATGTGTGTCGAGGTTATAACTTTTTACCATTCCTATTCAGTCTGTTTACTGAGCAAATAATCCACAATGCTGGACTATATGAACAAGAGCATACCATCACAATGGGAGAAAGACTCGTTAACAACCTGTGAAGCACAGGGGACACACCTGGCTGACTTAAACCCCAGAGGACTTGACACACTTACTGATGAAAATGAAGGAATACAGCATTCAGAATGGATTACACCTCAGCATAAAGAAAACAAAAAATCTTCACAACTGAACATTAAGCAAATCATAAATGGAGAATAGAATGAAACTGCCAAGAATCCCATTGTACTCAGACCCACATCATCAACCACCAGCAGTCAAAAAATCAAATGGTTTGTTGCATTATATACATCTGCTGTAAAAGAGTTCTTTAAAATATTAAAAAGCAAAGATGGAAAAATAATTTTTAAATTATCGGGAGGGAGGGGAAAAATGAGCTGATACCAAGGACTCAAGTAGAAAGAAAATGTTTTGAGAATGATGATGGCAACAAATGTACAAATGTGCTTGACATGATGGATGGATGGCATGTGATAAGAGTTGTACGAGCCCCCAATAAAATGATTTTTTACAAGATGACAGCCAGAGGTCTAAGGTTTACCTGACTCGCAGGATGGTATTTCCAATGAACTCATATGCATGAGAAATCTGGACAAGTAAATGCTGAAAAAGAATGTATGCATTTGAATTTTGGTTGATAATGGCAAAGAATATTGAATAGCTGTGGACTGCCAGAAATATCTGTAAATCTGTCTTGAAAGATACATATCCAGAATGCTCCTTAGAAACAAGGACAGGGACTTTGTCCCATAAACTTTGGACATGCTCTCAGGAGGAGCGAGTCACTGAAGAATGACATCATGTTGGTAAAGCAGAAGGCCAGTGAAAATGAAGACCCTCGCAAGAACACTTTGTTCTATTAAACTGGCATTCCATGATGCTCACCTTCCCCACACAATCGTTGAAGACAAAGCGGGTGAATAAGCAAATGTGGTGAAGAAAGCTGATAGTGCCGACTATCAAAAGATATAGTGTCTGGGGTCTTAAAGGCTTGAAGGTAAACAAGCGGTCACCCTAGCTCAGAAGCAACAAAGCCCACATGGAAGAAGCACACCTGCCTGTGCGATCATTGGGGTGTCGAAGGGATCAGGTATCAGGCATCATCAGAACAAAAAATCTTATCATTGTGAGTTGAGGGGGAGTGCAGAGTGGAGAGCCAAAGCCCATCTGTAGGCAATTGAACATCCCCTTACAGAAGGGTCTTGGGGAGGAGACAAGCCAGTCAGGGTGCAGTGTAGCAATGATGAAACAGAGAACTTTCCTCTAGTTCCCAAATGCTTCCTTCCCACCCACCCCCACGCTCATGTTCCCAATTCTGCCTTACAAATCCGGCTAGACCAGAGGATGTACACTGGTACAGATAAGAACTGGAAACACAGGGAATCCAGGGTGGACGATCCTTTCAGGACCAGTGATGAGAGTGGCGATACTGGGAGGGTGGGGTGGAAAGGGGGAACCGATTACAAGGATCTACACATAACCTCCTCCCTGGGGAGGCCGACAACAGAAAAGTGAGTGAAGGGAGATGTCGGACAGCGCAAGATATGACAAAATAACAATTTATAAATTATCAGGGGTTCATCAGGGAGGGGAGGAATGGGGAGGGAGGGGAAAAAAATGAGCTGCTGCCAGGGTCTTAAGTGGAGAGCAAATGTTTTGAGAATGATGAGGGCAATGAATGTACAAATGTGCTTTACACAATTGATGTATGTATAGATTGTGGTAAGATAAACCCTCAGTGCGATGAATTGACAGCATGGCCCCAGTGATGGACGCAAGCATAGCAGAACTGTGAGGACAGCACAGGACAGGCCCCCTTTCTGTCTAGTATCCACGGATGCTGTGCATCCGAACCAAGGCAGCAACGCCTAGCAATAGTAAACAGATAGAAACTTCGTAAATAGCCCATAAATGGGGCTCTCCACTCATTTAATCCAAGCATTCTAAACAAAGCCTTCTGTGGGATTTTTCTAAGTGATAGAGGCCCCAGTTTTAAGTGCAATTTATGGAGACCTATGCAAGTCATAAACGGGACAAAGACAAATTATCTGGCTGGGGGAGACCGACAGCATGTAGCCATAGTCCTGTCCAGAGACTCACAGGTGGGTGGCTACTTAAACAGGACATGGAACAGGAGGAGACGTTCACAAAATCATGAATGGTGGTAGGTAAATTCATCACAATCACACAATGGACTACAGAAGCAGAAAGGTGACTATGATTGGGACACCAGCCCTATACAAATTAGAAACGCTTACCAGATTGGTTTGGGGCCTTCCAAGCACTTTGATGGAGCGATGTATGACTCATAACCATTGCTGCCTAGTACCCCACTTTCCCTCGAGGGCAAACTTAGGCAAGTTCCTAATGACAAAGCTTTTTACATTGCTAGTCAGTGTAGACTCAACATGGATGGCTTCCACTGAAAACCTGTGTGTGTGTGTGTGTGTGTGTGTGTGTGTGTACTTTTGCCAGACATGCTTATACATGTTTTAGCTTTTAAAACTTTTGAACTCTGAGATAAACATTGATTTCATCCCAGTTTTGTAAATGAAATCTCACTAATCCACTGAGAGATTTCAGTAATTTGCTCAAAGTTAGTGATGATTATGTGTGTTGGAGCTGGAGTTTATTGAATCTGACAGGGTCTGCCCCTTGGTAATGGAGTGTCCAAAGCTATAGGTACGATGAGAAATTGGAAGAGTCCGAGAAGTTTCATTTTAAGTTCTGCCCTAGTATCTTTGTGTGTGTGTGTGTGTGTGTGTGTGTGTGTGTGTGTGTGTACGCGCGCGCATGCCTGTACACATGCATTCTAGTATGCATATTTGCCAGATCTAACCGAGGGGTATAAATTACTTAAATTTTTACAACAGCAAAAATCTTTACCCATAGTGCTTGGAGGACAACTCCCTGGTTTGGTTTTGTCGACCCTGTGGTAAGTCAACATGTGGGGCAATGGCATTTTTCTTTGGCTTTTGTAGCTTCCTCTCACTAGATATGAACCACAATGGTCTTTTCCACTTAGGCAATTTAAGTTGTCATCTCTTGATGGAATTATTTAAAGCCAAAAGCTTTTTCTTCTGTGAAGAAAAAGCATTTATGATAAATGTAATGATTCATACAGGACATTGTCAGAAAACCACTCAATAATAAGTTGACTGATGGTACTGCAGTTTCTTTAATGTTCCAAATGAAAGTTTATAATTGTGTGATTTTATTTATTGTAGGATGTAATTAAAACTATTGTGCAGAGTGGTGGCATCAAGCATCTAGTCACCATGGCAACTAGTGAACATGTAATAATGCAGAATGAAGCCCTTGTTGCTTTGGCACTAATAGCAGCTTTAGAATTGGGTAAGTACCCCAGTGACAAACTTATTTTCTCCTATTTTTATCTGGATGGAAAGCACAAGGAGTCGGGGGAAAATTCAGACAGAACCTTGATTGAAAGCGTTTTGCCAACACAGGGAATCCAAGACAGATAAACCCCTCAGGACCAATAATGAGAGTAGCAATACCAGGAAGGTAAAGGGAAGGTGGGGGAAGAAAGGGGAAACCGAACCGATCACAATGAGCTACATATAACCCCCTCCCTAGGGGACAGACGACAGAAAAATGGGTGAGGGGAGACAGTGGTTGGTATAAGACATGGGGGGAAAAATTATAAATTATCAGGGGTTCATGAGGGAAGGAGAGTGGGGGAGGAGGAAAAATGAGCTGATATCAAGGGCTCAAGTAGAAAATGTTTTACAATGATGGTGGCAACATATGTACAAATGTGCGTGGCAAAATGGATGGATGTATGGATAGTGATAAAAGTGTAAGAGTCCTCAATAAAATTATTTAAAATAATTTTAAAATATTTTAAAGGGAGCATTTTGCCAGTGTGAGTCTATACCTTTATATGGGTATATGGAAAATCGTACTCCATGGGTGATACTAGCTGTTTCTTTTGGTTGTGCTTGTAACAAAACATTTAACAGGGTTTAGGTTAGTTAAACTTCCAGATCTTACCTCAAGTTACAGCGACTTCCTCGATGACCTCATGGGGGTACAGAAAACATTCTCAGTATGTCTCATGGAGAACAGAAACCACATTTAAAGTACAGCAAGACTATCAATCTGTTATTCTTCCAGTGACTCAGCCATTTCCTTCCATCTCGGCTGCTGCTCTCTACTCCGTTTTCTTTTCTAATCCTCCTAGCCCTCGTGCCGGGCTTCTATTGCTCTAGAGCAGCAGTTCTCAACCTGGGGGTCGAACGACCCTCTCATAGGGGTTGGCTGATTCATAACAGTAGCAAAATTACAGTTATGAAGTAGCAACGAAAATAATTGTATGGTTGGGGGTCACCACAACATGAGGAACTGTATGAAAGGGTCGCGGCGTTAGGAAGGTTGAGAACCACTGCTTTCACTCTCGGAGTTCTCCACCCCATGCTACTCTGCTGTGTGTTTTACATTAAGTTCTCTCTGAAAACACCTTTAATTGATTCTGTTAGTTTCTGGCAAACATGGAGCATTTCTGTTGTGTAAAATTATAAAAGAGATGCTAACGTGTAAGCATCTGTTCTACGGGTAGTAGCTTGTCTCAAAAACAGGTGGCTTCAGCCCAAGGTCACTTTACACAAAGGGGAACTGTAGACTTGGTGTGGGTAGTGTCCTGTCCAGTTCAAAACCGTGTCAGTAAACACTGCAGCTGGTCACCCTAATTACTACTCGTGTTATGTATCCATGATTCTCAAGTTGGGGTAAGCAGGAGAAGCCAAAAGCTAAGTATAGATAGTGCGTCTTCCTCCACTGTCAGACCTACTCAGAATTGAGGTATGAAAGATTAGATTTCTGTCTTCTTAAAAGCAATTTTTAATTTTTAAAAATTAGAATTCTATAAGGATACAAAATCTCCCTGAATATTAAAGATAAAATAGAAGATTTTAACAACTTTGGTGTCACTTTGCCCCGGTGGCACAATGGGCCACACGTTGGGCTGCGGAAAAAGTGGTTTGAAACAGCCAGCTACTCCTCGGGAAAGATGAAACTTTCTACTCCTCCATCAGTGCCGCAGCTTCAGAGACGCACCGGGGAGCTCTGCTCACCTGTACGGTGCTGGGAGTCAGAATGACTCGATGGCACTGTGTTTGATGTTGAGGTTAAGGATACGGTTAGGAATTGGGCTATATGATTCCTTTGGAGTTCAGTTCTAGCCCTACTCTAGCCTGTGATTATTGTCTCCCACATGAGGTGGGAAGATTATATGAGTCAATCTAAGCGTCCAGACACCTTTAAGAAGTCTACAAAAGAGGGGAGTCAGTAAGGACATTTACTATCAAATGAATAATTATGGCCTGATTTTAAGTAACTTAAAATGATGGATCAATTTCGGAATATTCATGTCCCACTCTGAGGTGAATCTGGTTTTTTGCCCTTCATAATTAGTATCGACCAAATAAGCTGTAATCGCATCAGCTTCTAAATAGATGGGCGTTTGCCTGGGTCACCTTACTATAAAAACTATATGATATGACAATACATCTTTACATCCTTTTTTTTTTTTTTTTTAACATCCTTTTTGATACACACCATGCTTTGGAAACTACATTTCTCCAACTTAAAATCCTTACTGGATATTTGATATTAAAGAATGATAATAACATTAGAAGTGTAGCTTTATGTAATTATAAAAATATAATGGTGTATATTTTTTATTCACTGCCATTGAGTCGGCTCCTAGCTGACAGCCCAGTGAGTGTCCCACTGTGCTCTGAGGGCTCCTTTAGTGTATTTTAAGAGTCCCTTCTTTATATAGCCCTCGTGGCACTGGGCTGCTCACCACAAAGTTAGCACTTCAGAATCATCATCCACAGATCGAGAAAGATGAGAGGCTTTCTCCTCCCATAAAGATTCACAGTCTCAGAAATTCCCAGGAGCAATTCTAGTCTGTCCTATTGAGTAGCTATGAGTTTGGACCAACTCAGTTGCAGTGAGTTTGGGGTGGGGGCTGGTTATTTTTTGAGTGATCATTTTAGACAGACGTGCAATTGTGAAAAATATTAGAGAACTCCTTTGTATAATGGGCCCATGTTTCTCCCAGTGGAACATTTTGCAAGTAGTATAACATTATACTACTTGCATATACTATACTTTCTGCAAAATGTTTCATTGGGATAAATAGGGACAAATTGTATAAGGGAGTTCTCTAAAATATATCTAGTAGAGGAGCCCTAGTAACAAAGTGATTTCTCCTTGGGCCAGTAACTGCAAGGTCAGCAGTTCAAGAGCACCAGCTGCTCCTGAGGAGAGTGATAAGACTTTCTACTCCTGTAAAAGTTACCATCTCAGAAACTCACAGAGGCAATTTTACCCTGTCCTGTAGGGTTGCTGTGAGTCAGCATCAATTCAATGGCAGTGAGTTTGTTTGTTTTGTAATATAACATCACAGCTAGGATATATATTAATGTTGTTATGGTCCACCCATAAATCTACTCAGATGGCCATCCATTGTACTTGTGTGATACATTACTTATCATGGTCGCACCTGCGTTGGTGCATGCTGGCTCATGTCTGACACTACAGTCAAGAGGCCACCTCCCTCCCACCCTCATTCTCTATTCCATCACTGATTCCTGGTAACTACTGATCTCTTCATTAGTAAAATTTCACTTTTTAAGAAATGTTATCTAAATGGAATTATATAGTATGTCCTTTTAGATTTGACCTGTTTGTTTTTTGCTCAGCATAGTAACCTAGAGAGTCGTGTGTTTCATGTGTCCATGGTTCATTACTTTTTATAGCTGAGTAGTATTTTAAAGTACTAACCAGCGTTTGTTTAACCATTCACCTGTTGATGGAATTTCAGACTAATTACAACTTGGAGCTTCTATAGGTTTTGCATGAACATAAATTTTCATTTCTTTGGGATAAATGCCCAGATGTACACTTGCCGGCTTGTATCATAGTTGGATGGTGTGGTAGTTAAGGTTTATTGTGCCAACCTGGCCTATAAACACATGTGGGATTAAATGAAGAGCGGAGAAATAAATGGCTCAGTGAGCCTTGCCTTTCTTATTTCTCTGTCTCTTGTTCTCTGTGGTCAGACCAAGGTGTGACTGTCTTAGCCGGTTCCCTGCTTTAGCTGGCAAAGCTCACGTGGACCTACCCCGATGCAGCCCTGGGTGCTGGAGCAGCCCCAAGGAAACCCCTGCCAGTGCTAGGATGCTTACATGATCACTGATTCAGCTTTCCTCCTGCATTCGGCATCGTGTGTGTTTTGCGAGTGTGAGGAGGACTTTGTAGATTGGTGTAGGACGTATGGGCAAATGTCGGACTTAAATGGGCTTGGACTGAACTGGGTTGGGATGCTTTCTTAATGTATAATTACCTTTTATATAAAACTCTCTTACATATATATGAGTTTCTGTGGATTTGTTTTTCTAGTCTACCCATACTAACACAGATGGTTTGTTTGTTAAAGAAAATGTCTTAAATTTCCAAAGTAGTTAAACTATTTTCCATTCCCACCAGAGTGTATGACTGACCCCCTTTCTTTGCATCACCACCACCATATGCTGGTGCTATCACGATTTTGTTTATTATAGCCATCTTGCGAGCTATGTAGTGATAGCTCATTGTGATTTTAATTTGCATTTCCTTGATATTGCATAATATCTAAACATCTTTCCATGTTCTTTGGTTATGTCTACCTTGTCTTTTACCCATTTTCTAATTATGTGTTTTGTTTAGCTTTATTTTCACTGTTGAGTTTTGAGAGGTCTTTATATTCTAGTACTAGTTGTTTATTGAATTTTTAGTTTGCAAATCTTTTATTACAGTCTGTAGATTTTCTTTTCACCCTTTTTACATAGGCTTTTATTGTTGTTAGGTGCTATCAAGTCCGTTTCAGTCCATAGCAACCCTGTGCAGTAGAGTAGAACTGCCCCCATAGGGGGCCTAGGCCACCATTTTCACAGAAGCACCTTAAGAGGTCTTTTCTCCACCGGAGCCACAGGGTAGGTTTGAACCAGCAACCTCTTGGTTAGCAGCCGAGCCCTTAACCACTGCACCACCAAGGCTCCTTACAGGGCTTCACTGAGCAAAACTTTAAAATATAGTGGTGCAGTTTAATTTATTATTTCCTTTCATGGGTTGTGGTTTTGGTGTCAACTCCAAGAACGCTGCTTAGTCCTAAGTCCTGGGGAAGAGCCCCAGTGACTCAGTGGCTCAAGTGCTTTACGGCTAACTGAAAGGTTCACCCGCAAGCCGCCTAGCAGGGGAAGAAGGGGGTGGTCAGTTTTCATAGATTGTAGCTTTGGAAATCGTTTGGGGAAATTCTACTCTCTCCTATGCAGCTGCAGGTCTGAGTGGAAATCGATTTCACCAACTGAGGGCAATGGGTTTGGTCCTGAAATACTTATTTTACTTCTAATCAAAAAGGTGTATCATTTTACATTTAAGATGCTTATTTTTGCCAATGAGTGTATAATTTCTTCAACATCATTTGTAGAAAAGACAGTCTTTTCTCCATAGACTTGATTTTGTACCTTTGTGAGAAATCATTTGAACTTGTCCAGGTCTACACCTCTCGGCTTTCTACTCCTGTAAAGAGTTACAGTCTTCGAAACTCACAGGGGCAGTTTTGTCTTGTCCTGTAGGGTCGCTATGAGTTAGCATCAACTTGATGGCAGAGTTTGGGTTTGGTTTTGTCGTTGGTTTTGTTTAGTATTTCTAGTCTACTCCATTGATCTCTGTGCCAGCATCACACTGCCTTGATTAATGTTCTATGTGGTGAGGCTTAATTTGCTGTCGAGGGCTGTGAAGTTGGTCTCTCACTCATGGTGACTGCTCAGTGGAATCATAAAAAACTGTTTGGTCCTGCACACCCCATGATCAGCCATGGATCGGACAGTTGTGACCCATGAAGTTTTCATGGCCTGACTTTAGAAAGATTGCTAAATCTTTCCTCCTAGTTTACCTTTGTCTGGAAAATCTACTGAAACCTGTTTCTTGTCATAACAATGTACAAGCCTCGACTGGCAGGCAAAGTGGTGGCTGCACATGAAGTATATTGGGTGGGAATCAAACCTGGAGGGCAGGAATTCTACCTCTGAACCACCACTACTCTCGTAAGCGTTGGTAGAAAGTACAATAACTCTTGCCGTTTTATTCTTATTTATCAAGATTGTTTTAGTTATTTTAGGACCTATTCTTTTCCACACAAAATTCTTGTCTGTCTACAGAAAACTTTGCTGGCATTTTGATATAAATATTATGGAAGAGTTCTTATCTTTTAAAGATACACACTGAAATATTTATGGATGACATGATCTGATTCATAGAATTTGTTCCTAGATTATTTGGGAAGGATGCAAATGAATGGACAAGGGTAGAGATGGATGCAAAAAGATTGCCCATAATACTTGAAGTTGGTGATAGGTACTTAAGAGTGTCGCTTATTCAATCTTTTCTTCTTTTGTATATGTTTATGTTTAATGTTGTGTTGCATAATTTAACAGCCTTATAATAAATGTCGTAATATTGAAGGTTAAGCCTTAACCCCTACAATGTCTACTAAAATATAGCTCTACTCTCTTCACAGGATCTAAATTTAATATTACCTATCCAGGATATTGTTAGGAGCTGTTAGTTGGTCACAACCTTGATGTGACTTTGCCCTGTTGGCATAGTCAGTGGGTTATATGTTGGGTTTCTAACTGAAAGGTCAGCAGTAAGAAATTACCGGCCATTCTACAGGAGGAAAATGAGACTTTCTATGCCGGTATACAATTTACCGTTTCAGAAACCCACAGGAGCAGTTCTATACTCTCCTATAGGGTCGCTGTCAATACGAATTGACTCAGTGGCAGTGAGTTTTGTTATTGGAGGTCACTTAGTGAACACTTTAGGAAGTGTTTACATGGTCATTTTTAGAAGAGGAGGGGTTTAGTACTGAGTTCATACACGATGATTATAACTTACACTTCACTTGTTTCATATCCCAGGCACTGCTGAGAAAGATATAGAAAGTGCCAAGCTCATACAGATTTTACACAAACTGCTAGCAGATGAAAGAAGTGCTCCCGAAATCAAATATAATTCTATGGTCCTGATCTGTGCTCTCATGGGGTCTGGTAAGTATTTCTTTTATAATTCGATGGCCTTTGACGTATTTTCGATATTAAATAGAGGGTAATCCCGTGAAACCTGTGCACCTAGGAAACCCAGCAGTGCCGCTTTGTTTTCCTGGGCCTAGAAGTTCAAAATAGTTGGATTTTCCTTCTTGGATTGGTTTATGCCTTAGATAAATTCTAGCTTTCTTAGGTTGTACTTTAGTGCATTAGGGTCTGGGGTGCATTAGAAATTAGTAAATGGAAGCTAGAGAACTTCATTTACAGTGAAATTATTCTCAAAAGATTTTTACTATAATTTTTAAAATACCATGAATAGCAAACATTGGCAAGACAGTGTTAAAGAATTAAAAACTAATTTCTACTAACCCTAAAATGTTATGAATAAGAACAAGTTCTGATTTTGTATGATATGATATTAACTAAGGAATTTGTTCTAGAAATCATTGACATAGCTTGGGAACTTGAATCTACATTCTGCTGTGTTTGGGTGGAATGTTCAGTAAATTTCTAATAGATCCTATTGGCTGGTAGTAGTGTTCTATAGCCTTACTGGTTCTCTAACTGTTGACAGAGGGGGACTGAAGTTAGAAAATGTAATTGTGGCTTTCCCTATGTCTCCTTTCAGTTCTATTGGGTTTTAGTTCATATATTTTGCGTCTCTTTGGAGGTGCATAACTTTTAGAATTGCTGTGTCTTCATAGTTGAGCAACTTTGGTCAAGTGTCGATTTTCTCTATCAGTCTCGTTTAATTGGTATATTTATACCATTTACATTTATTGTAATCATTGATATGTTATTGCTTAATTCTGTAATTTCATTGTTTCCTGCTTTTTTTCTTCCTTCTCTTTATCCTGATTTTGCTCTAGATTTGTGAACTTCGTTTAGAATTCATCTTGATATCCATTTTCATAGATAGTCTTTTTAAGGAGCCCTGGTGGCATAGTGGGTTACTCATTGGGCTGCCAGGTCTGCAGTTTGAAAGCACAGGCTGCTCGTGAGAGAAAGAGGAGGCTCTCCACTCCCAGAGACATGTACAGCCTCAGAAACCCAAAGGAGCGCTTCTGTTCTGTCGCTTGTTGGCAGTGCATGAGGGATGGTAGTTTTGAGTGTATCTTTTTCCATGTATTATGTAATTACTGGTGTCAACACTTTACCAGTTCAAGTGAAGGATAGACACCTTACTCTATGTAGTTCCCTTTTCCGTGCCTTACTTGTAATATGCCTTAACATTCCCTCTATGTGCATTGAGAACCACACAGATAAATTTTTTTCCAATTTTCAAATATAATGCAGAAAACTTTAGAGGGAAAATAAAAGGTGTTAACCTATGCTTTTCTCACTATTTTTTCTTAGCAATTTTTCTCTAAGGGTAAGTGTGCTAGTATCAAATTCCTCCTGGTTTCCTTCATGTGCCTATCACAGCTCCCTAATATTCTCTACATCTATTTCTCTGCCTGGAATTTAATTGGCCCAGCAATCCCCTTGGAAGCCAGTATTAATCTTGACATCCCCCCCTCCACCTTTAAGGACCGTAATTAACCTAAGACAAGCATATTTCCGAGAGAACTTGTCTGCAGACACACAGACATGTGGGAACAGATGCAATTGTGTGTAAAATCACCCCGCAGATGTATGATCTGCAACCCCTGTAGCAACACTTGTTTATTTGCCCACATAAAAATTTGGCAAGTCAAGGTTTTCTGATTTCTTAGTTTTATAATATGCCCCTAAAAAAGACATTATAGTCTACTGCTTTGATTTTTTTTTTCCCAGAATGGTTCCTAGTTTTATAACTTGGTCTTACAAAATAAACATGTAGGTATATGGTTTAGATAGATTGTACAGTGAAATTAAAACCAACAGAAGCATATCTTATTTTTGTCTTCCAGAGTCTCTACACAAAGAGGTGCAAGATTTGGCCTTTCTAGATGTTGTATCCAAACTTCGAAGTCATGAGAACAAAAGTGTTGCCCAACAGGCCTCTCTCACAGAGCGGAGACTTATAGTGGAAAGCTGAGACCTGCCCTCTCTGAAACACAGCCTCACCCCATCTCTGATTTCCCATGTCCTCCATACAGCTGCGCCTTCCGCTTCATTCTCTACCGTATCACGTTGTGCATGCGTGTAATGTTCCAACCGAAGAACTGCTATAGGTACCTGCCCAATAATGATTTCTAAACCCATAGTTAGCGTGACCATGAATTTGTCAAAAACAGGTCTCCACTCATAACTGTTCTCTTGTATTCCTCTTACTGAGCTACATCAAGTAGAATGTGCATGTTGTAGTCCTACAATGATGTAAACTTGGACATACATAATGACTTGCTCCTCACACTCAGTTAACTGCATAGTTATCTATTGATAAATTAGAACCAAAACAATGCAGCAGAATCTGTCTGGCTTATTAAAGATGAAATTGAATAGTAAAAATGGCTCCATTTTTGGTGCTTGGGAAGCACAATGACCAAAAAACTGTACGGCTGCTCACTCATTAATCTTACCCACGAATGTCAAGCCCATGATACCTAAAACTGAATAAAATCCCATTGCTCTCACTGTGTGCCCTTTGGCTTCTCCTTTTTCTTAACTCTGTAGGATATTGAAACGGCCACAAACTTGTCAAGACTTTCTGAGGTTTCTGATTCCATAATTAATTGGCTGTCCATTAGTAGCTTGATGTTGAAAACGTTTATAATTTTCAATATGAACCTAAGAGGTTGAACCCTGATTAGATGAGTGCATCTTGCTTTTCTAGATTCTGGTGTGTGTGCATTTGCGCCTCAGAACGTCTCCCACAGTGAATTGGCATTACCCAGCCCTTGTCCTCAAGAGTCACTTGGCACTTGCTCTCATCTGAGGAAATAGAGGGTAGCTCTTTGGAGAATGGATTGATTTACCACGTTTTCATCCTGCAGCTTTGAAAGCAAGAAGTTTCATTTTTCATAGTTTCTGTAAATCTTTTAGAACTAGTAGGACATAGAAAAGAATATGAAATAAATTTATGTCAACTAATGAAAGGACAGTGGGTTCTAAAAGCCATAGTAGCCAGTCCATTCTGCAGATGATTTCTTGCCGGTAGGTGTGAGAGTTCACACCTCCCCCTGCGAACTGCAGGAGATCTTAAAGGACATCTGAGATAGTGACAGAGCGAAGATGTAGGAGATTCCAGGAGACCTCCCTGATGAAATACAGTGTGTTCTTCACTGCCACCACTACCACCAAATGAGTTTTCAGAGCTCTGAAATGCAATCTTTTTAAGTTAATTAGTGCGTCCCTGTGCTGCACTTGCCTTCTCCCCATGCCCAACTCTGGCAAATACTGGCCTACAGCCAAGGTGGCCTCCAATATGAAATGACTGTAGAACAGGAGCCCTGGCTGCCAAGGAGGTGACAGAAGCTCCTTCCTCTCCAGTAGGAGATGCTGCACATCTCGGGGTGGGGGGGTGACCTAAGTTGGACTTTGAACTCAGACAGTTAATCAAGCAAGTTACAAACCCAAAATATAAAGAACCTTTGGACTGTTCGCTTTGATGTCCAAGACACGGATTATTAGGAGTGCTTATAGCTATACTTAACTATAGGAATGTTTTTGTGGATTATGTTCTCCTGGGCTGGATAGTGAACTATATTTTATTATAGGTTTTGAAAGACATCTGTAATATTGCATAATAGGCTGTCCATATAATAAGTAAATAAATAAATAGTATATCAAACCGTAATGGCATTACTTGGTTTATTTGTGTGTCTTACATTTTCTCCCTAGAACACTGAGTGTTCATTTTTGCTTCTCAGTAAGTATTTATTGAATGGATGAATTCATTTCATGATTGATTCATGAACCTTTCAGGCTCCCTGAATTAATTCTAGATGGATTGACTTAAATTGAGATTTAATTTGTCTGACTTCAGAAAACTCTTAAGATTGTAAAATAGGGCATTGGATAGCACCATACAGAACCTTTCTGGACAGAGCATTCCACAATTGTAGACTGGACTTGAGAGAAGAGAAGCTACCATCTCAGCCAGTTCAGCAATCAGTCTGTTAATGTACTAGGAGTTCCTTCTGGTCTCCAGCAAAAGAAAGTGTGGTTTGAATTCTCCAATCTAGAGAGATGGAAGATTCTGCTCTTGGGATGACAGGAGTCTATTAACTGAGATGCCAGGGGACGCGAGTCCATAGAAAACACTCTCCTTCACCCTCTGCTATTATTTTTAGTTCTGCAGTTCACCCGTAAATTTATTTGCCACCCACTAACAGTGAATTGTAGGAGAAAGATTGCAAAGTCCCCTTTGTTCTTGAGGCCCTGAAACCAAGAATGAGTCCCCAAATCGGAGGAACAGCACCAGAATGCTCCATCATCTGTGCTAAAACTAGAACATAGAAGAAAAGCAGACCAGGAGTTAAGGAGAAGACACCTGAATGAACTGCACTCACGTGTGTCTCCTGCTTAACCCAGTGGCCTTTGAAGCCGTTCCCACTCCTGATGACCCTGTTGTGTCAGAGTAGAGCTGTGCTCTGTAGGTAGATTGCCAGGTGTCTGTTCCATGGCTCCTTGGATGAACTCAGGCCTCCAACCATTTGGTTAACAGCCAAGTGCATTAATTGCACCACTCGGATTCCATCTCCCCATTAGAACTTTGGAATATCGCCAACCACCTTCCCAAGCTGCAGCCTCATTGTGATCGAGACAACATTGGGCAAGCACTGACCCCAAATGGTGTTTTCCTTGATAAAACATGTTTTGAGCACACGATCTGATTAACAATGGAGATGTAAAACAAAACTAACGTTTTAAAATGACACCCACCTCCCCCTCAGAAGAATGCACTTCAGAGGACAGCACTGGGGCTACAACTGGGGGAGGGGCACATCAGATTAGGACACATAGGAGACATGAAAAGGGATGGAGAGGAGAGGACATCCTGTCCCACCAAGCCCCAAGGTCATAAGGTGACCAGACATCCCGCTTCTGGCGGGGCAGTCCCAATTTTTAACACTTTTTCCCATGTTCTGCGGCGTTTAAAAAAGTCCCGATTTTTGGAAAGAATGCACGACAAGCTAGCGTTTTTGGCTGCAATGTGGCTGTTTCACCAGGATATGAGTTTTATCCAGGCTGTCCCGCTTTACCAATGTTAGAATCTGGTCACCTTACCCAAGGATGATGATCCTACTCAGAAGAGAATGTACAGAGAGGACCATAGGGCCGGCTCCACCACAAGACACAATGTCCCTCATTAAACCTTAGTGCTGTGGGGACAACACCGGAGACACAGTGCAGGAATAGTGCACAATCTGACCCTTTCACGCTGGGGTGAAACACAGGGCATGCAACAAAGCAGCAAGGGGAGCACAGTGATGAAATCCCTGGTGAATACAAAAAGTAAACTTTGGAGGCAGAGCACCCCATCAGGCTCAACTGGAAAACACTTGCAAAGGCCAGCGGACCTTGAACTCTTTATAGGCTTTTCCATTTCTGTCGGTGGCTTTTTGTTACTGTTATTGGGTTTGGGTTATTGTTTTGTTTGTTTTAACTTCGTTTGTTGTTTCATTTGGCTTTGCTTGGTTTTTGCACTTAGCTATGTATCTGCATGTCTATCTAGATAAGATAGGTGGGATAAATAATTCAGAGATGAAAAGAACGGGACCAATGGTTCCAGGGGGATATGGGAGAAGGTGAGGTGGGAGAAAGAAGGGGTTGAGGGAAAACCAACCCAGGAAAAAGGGAACAATTAGTGAGCTAAAATCGATGGAGAGAAGAGCATAGGCTGCCTAGTGGGGCTTCCTCAAGGGCATTGTAGCAGCAAGGAATTACTAAGCCTGAACGAAGGCCTAACATGATGGTGGGACAAGAGGAAAGTAAAAGGAAATAGAGGAACCAGGACGCAAAGGGCATTTATAGAGGTCTAAATCAGGCATGTACATATATAAATACATATATACACCAAGAGGGGAATAGAACTATGTACTCATATCTATAAATAATTAAGGTTGCAGGTGGACATTGGGCCTCAACTCAAGTACTCCCTCAACACAAGAACACTGTTCTAACAATTGGGCATTCTGTGATGCTCACCTTCCCAAGACGATTGCTGAAGACAAATGGTGCATAAGCAACTGTGAAGAAAGCTGATAGTGCCTGGCTATCAAAAGATATAGCGTCTGGGGTCTTAAAAGCTAGAAAATAAACAAGCTGCCATCTATAGCTCAGAAACAACAAAGCCCACATGGTAGAAGCACGCCAGCCTGTGTGATCATGAGGTGTTGATGGGATCAGGTATCAGGCATCAAAGAACAATCATTGTCAATATGGGGGAGTGCAGAGTGGGGACCCAAAGCCCATCTGTAGACAACTGGACACCCCCTTACAGAAGGGTCACAAGGAGGAGACAAGCCAGTCAGGGTGCAGTGTAGCAATGATGAAACATACAACTTTCCTCTAGTTCTTTTATGCTTACCCCCCACCCACTATCATGATTCCAATTCTACCTTACAAATCCAGCTAGACCAGATGATGTACACTGGTACAGATAGGAACTGGAAACACAAGGAATCCAGGACAGATGATCCCTTTAGGACCAGTGCTGAGTGGAGGGAGGGTGGGGTAGAAAAGGGGAACCTTGTAATTGGTTCCATATATATATTAACCCCCCACCCCGGGGGACGTACAACAGAAAAGTGGGTGAAGGGAGATGCCGGACAGTGTAAGACATGACAAAATAATTTACAGATTATCAAGGGTTGGGGGGAGGGGGGGATTGAGCTGAAACCAAGGGCTTAAGTAGAAAGAAAATGTTTTGAGAATGATGATGGTAACAAATGTACAAATGTGCTTGACACAATGGATGTGAGTATGGATTTGATAAGCATTGTTTTTAAAGTTTTTTGTTGGTTTTTTTATGATCATGCCTTGGTGAAGAGCAATTGACCTCACTTTTAATTACATCAATTGAAAATGAAGCTGCCGTTTTGATGACCTAAGAAATGCATTTGCAGTAAAGGGCACCAGAAGATTTTGCTTGTCAATCAAGAGATCACCTTGACAAAGCATTATTTGTTGTGTTAAATAAAATTATAATCTTTTGAGGGTTTTTATTTTTACCGTTTTAAAGCTTATTTTATTAACTCATGTATCCTTATGACCCCATCACATTTTTTCTAAGCAATTAAATGTTTTTAAAAGAAAAGAATAATTGGAATGAACCATCATGGTTGTCACCAGGAAAACTGCAAGGGTTCTGCACAGATGTATTCTCTGCATATACGAAGAGGTACACACACACCCCAAAATAACAGATTTTTTTTTCAAAGCTATGTATTTAAATTTTTACACAGAACAACCTTCTCGCTTTCAAAGTACTCTCCACTAATAACATTTGTCAAATCTGCACTTCCATTCTTAGAAACATTTTTCAAACTTATCTGTTTGGATGGCTGACAGCACCTCCCTCATGTTTTCCTTCACCTCTTCTGTGTCATTAAATCACTGTTCTTTCAAAAGAAATAGCTGGAGTGAGGTCAGGTGAATCAGGTGCATGAGGCAAGAGAGGCATGCTGTTTTTTGCCAAGAGCTGGCACACTGAGATGCCTATGTGAGCAGGTGCATTGTCATGGCAAAACCAGTCCCCTGACTGCCACAAATCACGTCATTTTTGTTGCACTCTATTACACAATATTTTCAGAACCTCTAAATAGACAGCTTGATTAATAATCTGACCTGGTAGAACAATCTCAAATGCACTAAAAGTTGATATTTTCATCCGTTTGGGAAGTTGACATGTCCAGAACAGGTTTGTCATCAATCGACATCTCCCCTTTTTTGAAATGAGAAAACCAATGGTACACAGTTTTTTCATAGCACTGTCCTTGTAAGCTGTTCGACATCATAACCATTTCTGTGGCATTTTTCCTGAGCAAGAAACAAACTTTCACAGCTGCATGCTGTTCTCGTAAATTGGCCATCACAAAAAACAAGGTTCGAGTGAAACTGCTTTTACAAAAATAGTCACTGTGACCAGTGAGAACCGTCCGAGGTGACGCCACTGGACGCACTAATTCAGAGTGAGTTGCTCGATATTCACCTAGCAGGAAAAGTGCGTACTATGAAAGCACAATTCCAGGTTTGAGGGGTACCCCCTCGTGTGTGTAATGACATGTCTTCTAACTTCATGTTTTATAGGTGTGTCTTACTGAAATGACACAACAACTGCAAAAATGTGATACCAGGGAAAGAGGCTGGCGACTAGAAGTTAGGTAACCCACTTGTGAGAAGAAAGCACTAGCAACTTCACTTGTCACAAAACCCCAGGAAGTGTAGATTATTAAAATCATATTGATAAGAAAACCGGTCCAGGGAGTTTAGGTAACTTGTGCTCATGGTCACATGGCCAGTGGGTAAGACCACAGAGCACATTCTTGGAACTTGTCTTCAGCCTTTCAAAGATCAGTAATTTTGTTGGAAGGCATGTGAATATATACATGTAATTTTTTAGCCATGTATGGTCCATACCACATTCAGAAGTGTGTAGAACTTCATGGTGCCTACATAGACAATTTGCTGTTTAAGGATTAAGTTTTTGTTGTTTGTTTTTTTTAAATGAGATTTAGAAACTGGAAGCATTTGGAAGCCCAAATGCCCAAGAGTGGAAGAATGCATACAGAAACTGTGGTACCTACACACAATGGAATACAATGTGTCCCTAAAAAGAAGTGATGAAAGAAT